TGGAAATGGACAGCCTTTTACCTCCCAAGTTTCTGTAAACATGTATTTCTAACGCTTGATTTCGCATCAGCGCGAACGGTGCTTACGCCGAAGGGCTAATTACCATCAGTGCTGATCTCACCAGCAACTCCACGGCAATCAACTCGCCGTTTCTCGCACGACAGAAAGAAGGTCGTTTGTCTGAGGCGCGAAGTCCACTCAGGGAGACAAGCCAGCTGGGCGTGCGCATCCTGGACCTCAAAACCCCCAAATTACAATATACAATTCGCTTTGCTCCAGTGTTGTGATAAGATTAACACTTCAAGGAAGCTGATTGGATGCATGCCTTGGGAGTTCAGGATTGCCAACCCGCCATGCAGAACCACGCAGTGACCGCATAGAGCGCCCCATGATGGCCAATGTGGAGTGCCTTCCGCTGGCTAAATGGGTCATCTTGGGAAGTGGCACGTGGGGACGTGGATGACCGGGGGTACGGCGGACTTCGTATAGCTACTCAATGACCGTGGGGCGAGACTATGCAGTGGATTAACTATTGGCTAACTACTTTGTAAAGCAGACCCATAAAAGGGGTGATGCTCTGTGTGAAAAAGCAGTGTCCTTATAATACTTTCCCTTTGTATGATCAAGGCTTTTTAAATATTCATTCCTATGATATTTGCATCACCTGCTATTGTGTGGCACAACATTATAAGCGTGAGTCTCTAAATCAACTATTATATAAGTATCTACTATCAGCTAACAAAGTAGATAAGTTTCTAGAGCCTTTGTTTTAGCTGTTACTTCTCAAGGTCAATATTATGAAGCTGATAACTGCCGCCGCTGTTATTGCAATTTTAGCATCTCAGGCCCACGCCTTCAATCATGTGTGGTATTGGTGTGGCAAGTCTACTACTACGTGCAAGAATGAAGGAAAGCCGTGGAATGGAGTTTATCCGACCTACGACTGCGGACATAAATTGAAATGGGATAACTATAAACAAGCTTATGGAAAGTGGTATCAAAGTACGGATGAGTGGGATGACTGGGAAAAGAAAGGCGGATTTAAAGACTGCTGTCATGCGGCTGGGAAGGGCGCTTGCTACAGTTATCAAGAGTAGGTAGCTTGCGTGTGAGGGACTGCACGGGACTGAATGCCTGGGAAGGGAGAGAGTAGACAGAGGGACTCCACTATCTGCTGTCATCAACGCGTGGTTTTCGGAACGCCGTTCTACATAATATCTCCTCTGTCATGCAGGAAATAGCCTGTAATCAATCATGGATGACGATTTTATCGCTGGACTAACCTCCTGAGAAGCACTCTCTGCTTGACTTGAGCCCTTATTTCCTACCTCTCAACCCCCACGGCTATAGCTACCGTGTAGCTTAGATCTTGAGAGCCCATACGCAATCTTCTCCCTCTTTATTAGCGAAGAGATATTCGAGTACATCAGCCCGTCTACTAATGAATACGCCCAGCGAGAACAAGCAGAAATCGAATTAACTACTAGCCGCGTGTAAAGATAAAATCTACTTGCAAGGGTAGAAGGCCTGTCAGTCAGGTAAGGAAGAGGGTAACAAGTCTGATTGTGGCAAGACTGTTTCTTAAGGAACCCTCAAGAGCTAAAATAAGACATTCTATTTAGTATAATGCTCTACATAGTCTAGAAACCCAGCAGATGGACATCGAGAATCGAATCACCCTGCAAAAAATGGAAGCGGAGAACCACCTTATCAAAAACCTACTTACGTCGCTCAGCTCTTCCGCTGCCTTGGTTAAGCGCTACCTGCAGTTTGCCGACCAAAGTACCATTGCCGATCGTAAGGTAGCCATACCAGTGGTGACGGGGTGGCCAGTGGAGGCATACTTAGCAACCTCCTGCTAATCTCCTTGCTCAATGTCTTTGCAGGTGACGCCTAGCGTCCCTGCCAAGGAAAATGACCCAATTGAACAGCCTTCATTAAAAGACAATCCGCAGCCACCGAGTACCCCTCGAAGAGTCCATTAGCGCCCTGGATGACTTCCAGTACAATTCTCCCAATGACTTCGCCCCTACCGATTTCCGACGCACTGGTATGTCGCTCAATTCGCACATTGCATGACTCATAAGGCTACCGTCCTCACCACAAGATGGGACAGCCTCCCCTTCTTCTCACCGGACGGCGAAAGCATCGTCTTCACCCGCAAGACGAACGCCACCAACTACGACGTCTGTAGGTCTGGCCTGATGGAAGCGATCTGCGAGTGCCGACGAGCAGCCGCACCAATGACGCTCATGCGGTGTGGACGCATGATGAAAAGAGCGGGTACACTACCGTATGTATGGATTCCGGTTAATCCGGTGTGTGTGCCTTGTACGACAATACGTTCTACCTATACGGCCAGATTATGACCATGGATGCGGATAGAAAGAGCAAGTGCATGCTTACGGGCTCGATGTGGGAGTATTCGATCCCGCTATTCGTGCCTATTTCAGCTCTCTACACCGGTAAATGTATGGATCAGGGCGATGATATTGTGGCGGGGCCTGAATACAAGGAGCTGATACCATATTGCATGTGGAGAACATGTTGAAAATAGGATAAGGTCATAAGACACTGAGAATTCCGTTCCAATTGGAGTTTACCTGCCCTATCCTTTGGAATATATTTTCCGACTGTTGTTTACATTTACCCCTCTTGCGGGCGCGACAAAGGGTAAGAACCCCACATGAAGACATAAACCATCTCGGGTATACTTCGGATGTGGAGGTTGGGGAAACCTGGAGTTGCGGGGTGCCTAATTAGTTCTGTCCATACAATCCAGTGCTACCCGTTGATCATTGCCAGTTTGTCTGTGTCGAAGCGGGATCGGACTGAAATGCGACTGGACTATGCTTGGCGCTATGAAAATGATATAAGAGGGGTGTCTCTGGTTGTAAGCTATGTGTGGCTTGGGTCCATACAAGTTGATCGAAATGAAGACTGTATTTTCATGGTTTGTTATACTCCTGGGGGCTGCTGAGGCACAGCAGCTGTATATCACGACGACTGGCTTTCCTGATCGTCCACAATGCACGCAGCCAGCTTCCTCCCCGGAGTACCACTTCCACCCGTTCTCGTATACTCTAAATGAGACAGTTCGGTGAGTAGACAGATTGCCATAGTGAACCAAAAGAGTAACTATACTAATAATCACAGGTTTGCGACTTCGGTACCGAGGCCGACTACCACGCATACGTATGGGCCTCATTATGCTCATGCTGTGAAACATCTCAGCCCCATTCCAGCGACGACAACATGGGGCAACTGGTTGCCTAATCGGACCGTCATCACGGCCACAGATACTACAGACCCTTATGGGCAAGCCGCCTGGTCAAGGCTGTGGCAGCAGGCCAGCATCGAGAACTATACGACGACGGGTCTGTACTCGACGACTGTCAGTCCGACGCCGGTGCCGAGCAGTTCACTAGTCCTGCCGCCCGCTGACTACTTTGGCCCGACGGACTGCTATAGCTTTCCTGAGGACTTCGTATTTGGAGTGGCAGGTAGTGCTGCGCAGGTCGAGGGTGCGGCTGGCCTGGAGGGCCGCAGTCCGACTATCCTGGAGAAACTAGCCGGCGCGACTCGGCCAAATGATTACGTGACGAACGAGAATTACTACTTGTACAAGCAGGATATTCAACGTCTAGCAGCCATTGGAGTGAAGTACTACAGCTTCTCCATTCCGTGGACGCGCATCCTACCCTTTGTTCTACCAGGGACCCCCGTAAACGAGCAGGGCATCAAGCACTATGATGATCTGATCAATACTGTCCTCGACGCTGGCATGCTGCCCATCGTAACCCTTTTTCATTTTGACAGCCCCTGGATGTTCGTCGCCGGCGGTAATCTCACAGCAAAACCAGATATTGGCTACAGCAACGGAGGCTACCACAACGAGACATTTGTCGACGCCTTTGTCAACTACGCCAAGATCGTCCTCACACACTATGCCGACCGAGTCCCCATCTGGGTGACATTCAACGAGCCCCTCCTGTACTCGTTCAATTTCAAGGGCGCCGATAACGTCGTGCGCGCGCACGCACAAGTGTACCATTTCTACCACAACGTCCTAAAGGCAACCGGCAAGGTGGGCATCAAGTTCAACGACAACTTCGGCGTGCCCCGCGACCCCCGTAATGCCAGCGACGTGCAAGCCGCAAACCGCTTCCAGGAGATGCAGCTGGGCCTGTTCGCGAACCCGATCTTCCTCGGGAAGCAATACCCGGATTCCATCCTGAACACCCTGCCTGGTGCCAAACCACTCAGCGAGCGGGACCTGTCCTATATCGCGCACACGTCCGATTTCTTCGGCATCGACCCTTACACCGCAACGGTCGTCTCTCCAGCCCCGGAAGGGATTGAAGCCTGCGCCGCCAACGCCTCCAGCAAGCTCTTCCCGTACTGCGTGGTGCAGGAAACGAAGACCAGATACGGGTGGAACATCGGCTACCGCTCCCAGAGCTATGTCTACATCACCCCTACCTACCTCCGGGAGTACCTCAACTATCTGTGGAACACGTTCCGCAGCCCGGTCTTCGTGTCGGAGTTTGGGTTCCCTGTTTTCGGAGAAGCCGAGAAGACGGACCTGTCGGATCAGCTGTTTGATACCCCGCGGAGTATTTATTATCTTTCCTTTATGACAGAGATTCTCAAGGCAATTCATGAAGACGGGGTACACGTCATGGGGGCGTTGGCGTGGTCATGGGCTGATAATTGGGAGTTTGGAGACTATAAACAGCAGTTTGGGCTGCAGGTGGTTAATCGTACGACTCAGGAGCGGTATTACAAGAAGAGTTTCTTTGATTTAGTGGATTTTGTGTCGTCGAGAATGGCTAGGTGAGACGTCTGTCAGGGCTGTATCAAGCAAGCATGTCAACCTCTCGAGCTCTGAGCTTGACGGCGGTCTGCCCGCAGAGTATAGTCAGTTCATTGCTATTGGTTATCTTATGATCTGATATTCGTACGTATAAATAGGTTTCTAACATATACTTCGAGCAAACTCAACAGCTCTCAACCCATTGCTCGATATCATCCACAACAGCCACGTCTACACTTCCTTCAATATCATACTCGGCCGGAGTACACTTCCCCTCTCCTGCTACAAACAAGTGGTTTAATTTCTCATACAGCCTAAAGTGCACATTCTGACTATCCTGGAACTTTGCGTAGAACGCCGCATAGTCGTCATTGACGGTAACTTGATAATCCCTTGCACCCTGCATGACCAAGACAGGGCACTCGGAGCTCTGCAGGGACTGAATGGGATTGAATTCACGATTTTCAAGCCAATACGCAGGACCGAGGCCAAATGGTAGTTGGCTGGCTGGCCTTGATTTGGTCAAAGTTGGAGCATCCGCAATCTCTGCTTGCTTTTCTAGTGCCTCAATTGTCTTACTTGTGTCATCGTCGGAGGGTGGCCCACCAGACTCGTCGAGACTCGTGAAGTACCGCAGTTGGCGAATAGCACACCGATAGAGCGGTTGCGCCGGACACGCCATAAGGACACAGCCTGCTACCGAGGGGTCAGTTGTCGCAAGGCGAGCAGCGATCAACCCGCCTAGACTATGGCCCAGAAGGAATATCTTGTCGTTGTCGACGCTAGGATGTTGACGGGCCTTGCGGATGGCATGCCTGACGTGATAGACGTACTCATCTGTAAGCGTGGTTGTTGATTGGCGCATGAGAACCCTCCCAGCAATCGTGCAAGTAAACTTGTCGAACCGGCAAGATGCAACACCGCGATTGGCGAGCCCAAGAGCCATGTCCTTGAATGGTTTCAGGGCGCCAGTGGTGGAGTCTTTATCCATGGGGCCGGATCCGCCGATGAATACGATACAGGGGTATTTCTGTGCAGTCTTGACGGAGGTCGGCAGGATCAGTTCTGCTGCTACTCTGTACAGCCCCTTGCCGAGCGTGAGAGGGATGCAAGTGATATCCTCGGCTGCATAGGGTGGTAGCTGCCAGGGTGCACTCATGCCCGCCGCTTGCAAGGGGAGGACTCGCAGACTGATGATTCTGCCAGAAGATGTCATTTGAATTGACAGGACAAGAGACACACGACTGAATCGCAGGGATACTTTGGCAGTAAGAAGGAACCAGCCCCTCGTGACGGTAGGGTGACCAGTTTGATGAAGAGGGCCGCAATTAGTGAGGACTGCTCTCCATTGGTTCGCTAGAAACGATTCGGAGAAGAACCATCGCAACGGAGCAACACATTGCTGTCGCAGATTTCTCCACTCGTGCCGTTCAAGGTAGCCAACGATCCGCGACGCATGCTGTTCGGCATGAACGAGTGTAACTTTCCTTTCTTGTTCTCTTCGCCTGAAGTAGCTAACAGACCGACGCAATCTTACGTACAGGTTGTAGAACCACATGGTACGGACAAAGCATGAGGTTCCTGGATGTGGAGGACTGTAGACCGGATGAGACCGGTTATTTAGGGGCTGACCTCTGTCAACCCCGCGTGCAAGGATAAATTGCCATGTCACACTAGGGCCATGCCTAACCAGTCAACGATGGCAACCAAGATCGAGGTTCCAGAGTAGCCAGGCTCCAGGTTTTTAGGTGGTAATCTAGGTACAGTATGGGAGTAGTATAAGGCGTGCTAAGAGGAGTAGGAGACATGTTCGCCTGCAAGAACAGTATCTATACAAACGGGCTGTCCCTGCAGCCAGCATTACAACTGCGCTGGTAAGACCCATTTAATATATATCGCGATCAGCATAGATTCAGTACTATCTGGGATCATCGCTCTGGCAATAGGACGCTTGCTTTTCGTGTTCTCTTTTCTTATCAGGCGTGCCGAGGCAATCAGGCAGACACTGCTGCCTCAGGCAACCATCAGAGACTAGATCGACTAAACCTCTCCACCAACATGCTAGCCTCTCTTTCCCGATCGGGGATTCGTCAAAAGGCCATCGTAACCAGAAAACTTAAGGGACTAATATGCTTGGCGAGCAAATCGCACTAGGCAACACATCGCTTGGCCGCTTGGTGCCTGGGCTCTCCTGCGCCTCAAAACTCCATCGCCCCTTTCTGTCGCATCCCGCCTGGATCGCAGTTCGCAGCGCAGGGACAAAATGGCGAGTGGAACGCAGCGGTATTCACACACAAATTTCAACAATGTGTCAATGAACAGTGTGCTCACAAAGGTACACATCGAGAACCAAGAGCTGGAAATCGGTAGGTTACTATCAACATGACGCGTCAGATCACCCGGATGATCCTCATGCTAAGATCCACTTCCAGTCGATCGCCTTATTGAGCCGCAGACCATAGCACATTTCTTAGAGTTCGCTGTGAGCGGTCTGCTTCCCAATGGCAAGGAATGTGACCTTGTGCGTCTGACTCCGGATGAGATCCCGTTGATGCAGACGAGTCCTGATCCGGATGCGGATCAAACCGTCATCATTGACCGGGTGATGACTCGCATTGGGTCCATGCAGGATGGGGACCGGTTGTGCTGTGTCGGGAAGAATATCCAGTCCCTGAAGAACCGATTGTGGGAGGGGATTGTCCCGTTGTGTGAGCAGCGATGGAAGGAGAAGGGCCTCGACAAGAAGGATAATTTTGACGTGGCGTGTCAGCATCTGTCGGCCGTTTGCGCAGCATTTGAGTATTTGAATCAGCCCAAAGTGATGAAGAACATGCGCGACACGTTCAACTTGATCTGGGAGCATTGGAGGGAGCTAGAAGTTATGGTGAATCGACAGCGCGCAGAGAAGCAGCAACCGTCTGTAAGCGTGACGGGCCTGTGGACGGCATACATGACAGCCCATTTTGAGGTCATGACGGAGCGAGCACACCGCTGGGTGACGGTCAAAGTCAGCGCCCTTCGGAGTCCATTGCTCTCCACGCTGCGTTTGCATCGTCCCGTGGATCTGGACACGGCAGACAGGGTTCAGTGGCAGACAACCGACGCGCTGCACAAGCTGGCCGAAATCACCTCCGTCGCCGACTACGGCATTCTTATTCCGATGGACGGATACAAGGGCTATACTGCACCAGCTGTCCCGTCGAATGTCCCTCCTGCTCTTCGTTCAACAGTCTGGTCGAAGCGTGGAGGAGAATATTCGCGGAGGCTCAAGCAGGTCACACACACAGCGCGATATCAGAGCATCATGCAAGCGCGCGCGAGAGGCGAGCCTCACCATCTTGCGGATCCCGTGTCACTGCACCAGGCGTGCCTCGACCAGATCAACAGTCAGCATCAGTTGCGACGAGAAGTGCGCGGCAACCCGATTGAGCCGGTACCCCGCGAGCCATGGATTGCGAGATTATTGTATTCGATTCAGAATCGGAACGACCGGCGTCAGAGCTTCGGGCTGGCCATCTACCGGCTGACCTATAAGCAGAGCGATGCTGAATGGAATGCGTGCAAACAGAGAATAGAGCAACACATTGCGGACTGGGGTCGCGGACAGACAGGCTCGAGTGCAATCAAGCCGCATCTGAAACTGCACTGGATGGATGGGAAGGAATTAGGAATCCCAGAAGGCGACGTCGAGGGCGCAAGAAAGTGAGTTCTCTCCGAGATTGATTGTTCGAATTCTAACATTACAGACACTTCCATGATCTCGGTCCCTCATCGTCTGATGCCGAAGACCAGATAAATGATCGAGTATTTCTCGTAGTCGACGAGCCCAGTGTCGCCTCATACACGAGCTCCAGCTACTCCGCCGCCGTGCTCACCACGCGCGACGGAGACTATGCAGGTTTCGTGCTAGCCGTCGACGCCGAGTGGGATCCAGCTGAGGGTCCCGATCGTCCAGACGAATCCCCCGGGTACCACGGAGAGATGCGAATCTTGGGCAGCCTGGTTTGGGGAGATCTGTACGCCATGCATGCGTCACAATCCGCCTTACTGGAAGATTTATGGCCGCTTGCTCTCGACCATCCGAACACAGTCTACGTCGGGCCGGTCGTACCCGAGGAGATCAGGGACTGGCGGCTCCAGAACGGCTTGCGCAATATGTGTCTGCGAACAGTAGCCGACTACGCACACAAGAAGATCAACGGGACCCCGTTCCCTGTTGCTCCCGTGCAAACCATTCCAGGGCGCGCTGCCAATGCAGGAACCGGGAATGCAGGCCCCTCCAGCTCGCCAAATAATCCTCCTCCCGGATCGGCGCAGGGTCATGAAGACAATCCACTGCGGTCGTACCTGATGCGCGCGTTCCATCGACATTTGCAAAGGAATAATCACCACCGAGAAGCGGCGCTGGTCGGAGAAGTGCTGGCTACTCCTCCCAACCAGACGCTCGATATGGAGCGGGTGCGACAACGCATGGAGGAGGGTCAGGCTAACCCCGCGCCGCCTTTGAGTAGGGAGGAGGAAGATGAGCTGCAGAGGCAGGAGTTTGAGAGGGAGTTTTGTCCGCAGCAATAGCTGATCTTGCTGGCGTAGGTTCTTCTCCTTGTGTGTGCACGTCAGGTGGGATGTTACGTTAATAGCTGTTCATCCAGTACCATTTCAGCGACTACCATTCTTTATTGTTAGACTTTCACTTAGAAATTTGAGAATTTAGCACAGTAGGTGCGAACATTTACAGCACAACGGGAAATAAATAATAGAAGACTCCGGGTAGGGCATAGTACCGGAGCGCTTGAACTGAATGTGTGCTCCGTGCACTAAAGGGTCTGGACACGCTCTGTAAACTCCAGCTGATATAAAGTTCCACCCCTGGTATTCATGAATGTGGAACACTGATTCAGTTATCCGAAACTAAAACCCCACTGTTAGAAGTTCCCGAAAAGACTCCATTCTTTATACGCGCATTCCTGACTTGGCATCCGCCAGTGTCATGTTCAAAGCAAATGGTGCCGGTGATAGATCCAGGAGGTCTTATGTAGACTGTGGACTAAGCTTGGAGGATTTTCCGTGGCGCTGGATAGATAAATCCATTGCCATGGAACCAAACAACTTGTTCAGAATTGGCATTCTATTACTCTTGCCCAAGATTACGTATTATTATTTCCCCCTTGCATCACAGTACGTAGCTTAACTGAGGGCAGGGGACATTACCTGAACTTGTCATGAGTCGGAGCCGGATCGGAGCCGTGGGACGGCGGACGGTGGATCATAAGGTACAGTACCTCAAGTCTTCAACTCTATTCATTCTGCCCTGATTCAGGGCTCTCGGATCATGGATGATTTTCATGGATGATTTGCTGTTCAAGATCTACAGTCCGTGCATAAGAGTTTGTCACTTTCCTTTTTTATAACACCCCCACCTACATCATCATGACGCGCCCGTAATGCTAGCGCAAACCAGCACAAATCAAGCGACGAGATTCATCCCCCGCCTCTTCCTGGGAAGCCTTATCACGGACGGAGTTTCCTTCCAGCCAATCAGTGCTTTGGCAGCTCCCATGCTGAGTGGAGAGGATCGATGTCACCAATGCTGACCTAATATGGGAGCAATAAGCTAGTTAACTAACAAAACGTGTTTTTGCGGTCTGATCTCGCTCGCTTTACAGCTTCAGCCTTCAACAAAAAATTTTTGATATGTTATGGAGTCTGAAGACGCACAAAGCCTTGAGCAGTCGAGATTTTCTGACCCTGCCGAAAACGTCTCAAGTTCTTTGTTCAGTAAAGAATCAACAGAGGGACTACAATCCGAGGAAGTGTCCTCATCGAAGGTTCCTATCCCGCGACTCGCTCCTCCTAGAACCACTGGCAATCGTCGCATCAGGACGGCATGTGCCGCATGCAGGGAACAAAAAGCCAAGTGTAGTGAACATCGCCCATGCCTTCGCTGCATCAGCTTTGGCATCACTTGCACGTCGCTTGAAAGTAAACGCGAGAGTAGGGAAAGGTTAGTATGAGACCTGGAAAAGATTGAAGCCGTTTGACTTAGTTTTATACAGGCAAATCGAAGAACTCGAGCAGCAGGTTGCTCTTTACGAAGAGTTACTGCAACACCTCCGATCCAGGGTCGATACTCACGATGCAGAGCTTATTACAAAGACATTGCTTGGAGTAAGTCTCAGTCCCCCCTGTCCGGTTGCCTTCTCGATTTTGACAATTTCCAATAGACGAGCCCTATCACTAGGCCCCCATCTCCGGATCTAGTCAGCACGACCCATTCTACCTCTACCCAACCTTCGTTTGCCGTGGACTATGTTGAGGAGGACTACCATCGGAATCAGCAACTGCACGCGTTCGGCTATCTAGGGTCGCATTCTGAAGTCTCATGGATACGTGATTTGAGGAAGGAAATAGACAGGGCCACCCCTTCGGCGGAGTCGAAGGCAGCTTCACCGGGGAATGGTTCCAAGGCATTGACCTCGGTAAGTTATTTTCTGGATGATCAGAATCTGTTAGTCGATCATGGTATTTCTCCCTATGATCGGCCTTCTCGTACTATTGGAGATAAACTTATACATCTCTATTTTGACGCGGTTCATCCGTCTTTTCCCATTGTTGGTAGGATTCCCTTTATGCAGCAGTATGCTTTATATTATTCCCGGCCAAATATGCGGCCGCCGGGCCGGTGGCTCGCGATTCTTAACTTAATCTTTGCGCTGGGGGCCAAATTCGGTCACCTTCTTTCTGAACCGTGGATAAAAGGTACTAATGGGCCCTTGGAGTATTTTTCCCGGGCTCAGAAGCTCAATTTCACGAATGGCCAGCTCTTCGACCACCCCAACCTGCAGCAGGTGCAGGCCGAAGGGTTGAGCGCCTTTTGGCTCATGTCTATGGGACACATCAACAGGTACATATTCCATTCTCAGAAACTCAGAATGATATATCTAATACGATCTGCAGGGCGTGGAGAACCTGTGGTCTCTCCGTCAGGTCCGCCATCGCTTTGGGGATTAATCTCCGCAGCGAGAGCAAGGACACGCCGAACTTCTCCAAAGAGCTCCGGTATCGCGTTTGGTGGTCCATATACACGCTGGAGAACACCCTCTCCATCATGACTGGGCGTCCCACGAGTGCTGCAGACACGTTCTGCACAACACCTCTCCCGATTCCCTACGAAGAGGACCAGTTCCATGGGCCTATCGCGTCCCAACTTCTCTCGGACTACAGTGTCCGATATAGCTATATGCAAGCTTTCTCCTCGCGAAGGCACAAACACCCCCCTTCTCAAGTTTCGACAAAACCAGCACCGTCTGTAGGACATTACTTGGCTTCGACTATCAACGAGGCCGCACCTAGTAATTCTCTTTACTTTCTGTATTTCATTGACATAACGATGATCATGCGGCGAGCAATTGACGTGCTGTATTCTCCAGGCGGGTCTAGAGAACCCTGGCTGAAGGTCGGCGCAACAATAATGGACTTGGTAAGAGACGCAGACGCGTGGAGTAGCAGTCTTCCAGAAGTATTCCAGTTTAGGCCGATGCAGAAGTCCAGGTCATTTGAACGGCAGCGATGGAGCCTTGCCTTTCGCTTCTATAGCACCAAGATCACTATTTCCCGCCCTTCTCTTTGCCGCACCGACCGGCTTCGCCCCGGTCAATTCCAAAATCCCCCGCTGGACCAGCGGAAGAACGCAAAAGTATGTGTGGATTCGGCCTGCGATATACTAGACCTATTACCAGACACACCGGACGTGCTCTGGCTGATCCGGTTATCGCCCTGGTGGTGTATCATCCATTATCTGATGCAGTCCGCAACCATTTTACTAATCGAGCTCGATTTCTGCGTCAAGTTTGACGTCGAAGAAGCCGCTAAAATCACTCTGCTGGTGGAGAAAGCGATGGGGTGGCTTCTTGCAATGGCGGCAGATAACCTAGCTGCTCAACGAGCATGGGAGGTCTGCCATAGCCTCTACTGCTGCATTTCCCTAACGCCTGTGGACAGCATGATGGCCACCCCGTCCGCCTCTACTTCACCGGTACCACCTCAGAGCAATATCCTACGAGCGATGCAAGATGGGCTGCAACTCACACAGTCGCATGTGTCTTTGCCGCAGAATATAGTTGTACACCCCACACTGCAAACGATGTATGATCAATTTGTGCCTCGCGAATCTAGTGGAGCTATATCCGATAATCCTGGCAATACCAATTATCAGTAGTCACCCGAAGTTTTGCGTGTATCTGATCATGCATATTTTGTTGTGTATGGCGTATAACGAAACATCAGCCAATAGAAAGCACGAGACAAAAGAGCGGTAGATTCACGCATAATTGTGTGGGGTCCAAGACACGAGTGTGGCTTGGTTGGAAGATGCCCGATGACCATGAATTCTTCCAACGCACTAGGAGGAGAAGCAAAACGTCATTGAAAAGGGCGCAAAAATGAATATGAAATTTCATAACAGTTAAGATCAAATTTGCATCTATAGCTTGTACATTGATATAGAGAATTAATTGAATTCTACAGGGGGCAATCTGTCTTGTGTACGGAGTAAATGTCCCCGCGCCAAGAGCTGCCTCAGGTTATCCACGTGGGTCAGCTGCCAAGACTCAGCCGCTCAGCCGCCGGATCTAGAATGGCCCAACGCATCACCAGGCTTCCCCGGTCAAGCAACATGTGAATATATATGATCCGCTTATCTTGATCCATCTTCTCTCGAAGTTTCTCTCTTTTCGCTCTTCATTGTCCTTTCATCAATTCCATCCAATTTGCCCGGTAATTTCTGAGCTCAGGCACTCCTGGTGCCACTCTCTGAGGCCATGGCCACCACCACTTCGTCGGTCGTCAGCTCCCCGACCGTTGCGCCACAGGGTGGCATCCTCGAAGGTGGGAATCCGTCCCACTATGACCCCAAGAACCCAATTGTTATTTTCATCATTCAAGTCAGTATTCCATCGTGATAAGCAGAATCAACCAGATCTCAAAACTCATCGGACCAGGCTTCAATCATCATTATTCTATGTCGCCTGATTCATTGGCCGCTTTCCAAGATCCGGCAGCCTCGTGTGATCGCAGAGGTGATTGCCGGCATCCTCTTGGGCCCATCGGTAATGGGACGGATCCCAGGGTTTACAAATGCGATCTTCCCTGCTGCGTCGATTCCCAACCTGACTCTTGTCGCCAACCTGGGTCTCGTGCTTTTCCTGTTCCTCGTCGGCCTTGAGACCGACCTGCGTTTTCTCATCAGTAACTGGCGCGTGGCGGCGAGTGTTTCAGCCGCAGGAATGATTCTGCCCTTCGGATTCGGTTCCGCTATCTCGTATGGTCTGTATCACACGTTTCGGACGGAACCCGGCATGACTCATATCGATTTCGGTACTTATCTGCTCTTTATTGGTATTGCAATGGCGATCACGGTGAGCCCTGTATCACTCAACTACAATGATGACAGCTTACTCATTCAGCAGGCGTTCCCGGTGTTGTGCCGTATCTTGACCGAATTAAAACTCCTCGGGACCAATGTCGGCGTCATTGTGCTGTCTGCCGGTGTAGGTAACGATGTGGTTGGTTGGATCTTACTCGCCCTTTGCGTCGCGCTTGTCAATGCAGGAAGCGGCATCACGGCCCTCTGGGTGCTACTCGTCGCAGCCGGCTATATCCTCTTTCTGGCGCTCGTATTCCGTCCGTTGTTCATGCGCTTCCTCAACAAGACCGGAAGCTTGCAAAAAGGACCCAGTCAGTCGGTCGTGACAATCACCATTCTCATTGCTCTGGCGTCGGCATTCTTTACCCAGATCATTGGAATCCACGCCATCTTTGGAGGATTCATCATTGGATTGCTATGTCCCCACGAAGGCGGTTTCGCTATCAAGCTGACCGAGAAGATTGAAGACTTGGTTGCTGTTCTTTTCCTTCCCTTGTATTTCACTCTTTCTGGACTTTCAACCAATCTCGGCCTGCTGGATTCCGGCACAGTCTGGGGATATGTCGTCGGCGTCATTGCCATTGCCTTCCTCGCCAAGGTGGCCGGCGGTGCTGTAGCTTCGAGATTATCTGGCCTGCTCTGGCGGGAGAGTCTCTCCATTGGTGTTTTGATGAGTTGCAAGGGTCTTGTCGAGCTGATTGTCTTGGTGAGTTACTTTCTTGCGTTGATCTGCCAATCGACAACTGACCGCGATAGAACATTGGTCTCCAAGCGCGCATCCTCAGCACTCGCACATTCACGATTTTCGTTGTCATGGCCCTGGTGACAACTTTTGCAACCACCCCACTGACCAGTCTCTTGTATCCAAAATGGTATCAGATCAAGGTGGAGCGCTGGCGTCGTGGGGAAATCGACTGGAATGGTCACCCGATCCGACCCGATGGACGTCAGGATAGCGTTGCTGTTGCGAAAGAGCAGCTCAAGACTGCACCGGTCCGCAAGATGCTCGTTTATCTGCGACTGGACGGGCTTTCCAGCATCTGTACGTTGGCTGCCCTATTGGGGCCCAATCGAGCCGCCGCGCCGCCTTCCCCCAAGCTGCACCCGGCCAAGCGCAAGGAGGTTCTGTCATCTCCGGAACCAGCAGTTGAAGAGTCCGCCGAGACCGAAGTCCAGCCGGAGCCTGCATTGCAAGTCCACGGCGTCAGGCTAATGGAACTCACCGATCGAGACTCTAGTGTCATGAAGGTCGCCGAGATCGACGAGTACACGCTGTGGGATCCCGTCATCAACACCTTCCGGGCTTTCGGTCAATGGCGCGATATTGCCATCATGGCAGGGGTATCCGTCATTCCCGAGCATTCTTATGCGGACACCGTCGTGGGGATGGCTCGCGAAGAATCCGCGGATCTCCTGTTAATCCCGTGGAGTGAAACGGGTGGCATGAGCGAGGTTCAAACCGGTCTTGGAATCAACGAGGCCGGTAGATTTATCAATGGTCCCTACACCAACTTTGTGTCGAATGTGCTCTCTAATACGACGAGCAATGTGGGCGTCCTCGTGGAGAGGAACTTGTACAGCCGCAGCTCCGGCAAGCAACGGCCACAACTCACCCACAAAGCCAGCGCTCTCAGCATCCGCAGTTCCATCTGGGGGGGTACCACGGCCGCCGCGCAATCGCATCACATTGTGTTACCGTTCTTTGGCGGTGATGATGACCGCTTTGCCCTAAACTTCCTTCTTCAGCTAGCTCAAAACGACCAAGTCACGGCGACGGTGCTCCACATTGATGGCTTTTCCACCCCTTCAACAAAATCCGCCGCTAACACTACAGAATCCCAAGCGGAGAGCTCGACCAGCCCTTCGACAGTCGCATCACAACAACCCGTGAGTGACAGTACCTTCTTTGCCTTGATGCGAGATTCTCTCCCGGACGAGTTCAAGTCTCGAGTCCTCTTTACACGTCTCACCCCGAAAGCGGACGACAATGTGGTTGAATTCACAATCAACGCCGTGAAAGAAGAGATGTCGCCGACGACACCGAAAGCTGGAAACATCGTCGTGGTGGGAAGACGCCACAACGGGCTGGACCAGGCATTGACTTTAGCAGCCGTCTCATCCCCCGACGAGGTCGGGCCCGACGCCCGACAGGCCCTTGGCGCTGTCGGCCAGGCGCTGGTACGGACTGAGAATAGAATTGTGGGTAACGTATTGGTCCTCCAGGCAGGCATGACGAACCTGCGGCAGTGAATAATGGTTCTATGGCATATATGAAGTTGGGTTTACATTGTCTTTCCTGTTGATATACAATCCGATGGATTGCACAGAAGTTCCTGTCGACATAGCATGCCGATCGAAATGCACATACACGGAGTCCTTAAATTCCATCAATCTATTTGTTGGACATTGTCATTCTTCAGTAAATCGTTAGAAATAGTATCACAACTCAATCTCCTCATGTTTTGGCCCTGTGATGCCAGCCGCCAACTTCGACCTCGCCCTCAGCCGCGGCCCGTACCAATAAAACACAAACGGAATCAAGGTCAACAGCATCGCCACAACGGCCAACAACAGCCCAGCATACTGACTGCCCACATTATGGAAAAACTGCGACGCGAAAAGCGGCGATACCGCACCGAGCGTATTCCGCATGAACCCCTGGCCCGCAATCGCCGAGCTTGAATTCTCCCCGTAGCAGTCGGAGGTAAAGCTATAGCAGCTCTCGAAAATGAAGAAAATCCCGACAGTAATGAGGACCAGGGCAATCACGGGTGCAATCCAGTGGAGCTCCTTGTACTGCGTGAAGCTGTAGATGAATAAGCCTATAGGCAGCCACATGGAGCCGAGCATGGCGCCGTAGAGGCGGGCCTCGGGGGTTGCCTCGCGGGCGGGGTCGGCGACAATGGAGCGGTATTTCCTGATTTGGAGGAAGTTGAGCGCGAAGCCGAGGGTTGTGCCGATGCAGAGGGCGATATACGGTAACCCGGCAAGGCCCTCGCTCCAGCCTTTCTTTTCTTCGAAGGTGATGGGGATGACGGAGAGGAAGAGGAAGGTGAGGAACCAGGCGAAGGAGATCCAGAGCCCGAAGGCGAGGACGACGGGTTCGGTGACCAGCATGTGGATTGCCTTGACGGAGGAATTGTGCAGCATTTGCTTGAGGCCGGGGGCCTCGAGGTCCTTTTGGGTGACGTAGCGGTCGTCGCCGGTCTGCTGGCGGAGGATCTTGGCGCGTTTGGCGAGGGTGACGCTGCCGCGGGTTTCGCGGAGGCAGAGGGCGATGATGATGGCGAGGGGCACGTTCGCGAGGCCCTGGATGCCTTCGATCCAGCGCCAGCCGAGCGTCTCGTCGATGAAGCCGGCGTAGATGGGGGCGCCGACGGTGCCGAGGATGGCGACGTAGGAGAAAGTGGCCATGGGGACGGCGCGCTGGTCGGGCGTGTACATGTCGCCGAAGGTGCCGCCGACGAGGATGGTGCCTACGCAGCCGAAGAGCCCGAGCAGGGCGCGGCAGACGATGATGGTGGCGATGTTCTGGCCGAGCGCGAGGCCGATGAACATGATCGCGAAGAGGACGTAGGCGCCGACGTAGACGACCCGCCGGCCGGCGAGTTCGCAGAAGGGAGCCAGGAAGAGTGGAGCCAGGGCACAGGTGAAGTTGAACGTGAACAGGCCGAGCTGGCCTAGTTCAGAGGAGACACCGAACTCTGCCGTCATGCGGGCAATGCCTGAGCTGTACGCTGTGGTTGCCAGACCGATGAACAGAGTCATCAGACAGAGTAGCAGTGAGATGAATGCCTTCCGCTGCGGACTCCAGTTGAAGGGGTTCTCTTTGTCTCCCTCCGCAAAGTCCAGCACAATGTATTGATTCCCGTTGTGGTTTATCGTCTCCGTCAGAGTGAGCGGCATATCAACATCGACCTTTTGAATCGGACCATCATTAGGAGCAAGGGCATGGTCATCGTAGAGCTCCTGCAGGTACTTTCCACCGGCAACACGACCACGCTGGCGCTGCTGATTCTGGGGGTGAGAATGGGCATTCTCAGCGTGAGACGCCTGGACAGGCTGGGACTTGTCGGTCTTGTCCATGGCGGGAGTATGGGGAAGGGGGGTGATGGTCTTGGTGGATGTCCTAAGTCTGGGACAACTTGCTTAAATATGGAAAGCGAGTGTGCTTCGTCATTCAGCTGCATAAATCATGCGGTGAGTCGCTTTTAGATCGACAGAGCAGGCCAATGCATGATTTGTGCTCCGTAGTGCAACGTCTCTGGCAATGAATAATGGCCCGTCTCGGGAGGTTACGGAGTCCGGCTCGCAGCACCAGGTTTGTCTCCAGCTGCACGTCTCTCGAATGAGGCGTGATCTCTCCTTACAGATGGGCAGATACACCGTACGTACTCCAACGTCGGTGGGTCACCTCGAAGATTTTTCATATCCTGCGTAAACTTCGGAGAAACTTTGCCTCACTTCATCCCAACCGCAACCATCACCTCAGGCTATACCACTATGTATACTCACCCTCTCTGAACTGACAATCACAGCCCTTGCAACAGTAGATAGTAAAGCTCACATCCATGATATTAAAGTATACAAAGGGATGATCCCAGAGCAAACCTGGCCCGCCAAGGCAGCATCACGGTTTCGGAACTCGCCCGAGATCGACCCAGCCGTGGGCCCATGACGATCCAACCCCCCACACCCACCGAAAACAGGGACAAGTCGCATAAGTAGAGTGACAAGCCGACTCCGGGATCCCGAGTCATCATACTCCGTATTGTTATTTCCGGCGGTGAGATGGACGAGAGCCACCGGCCCGAGTCGGCATTCTCACGCCTCACTGGCCTGATTCTTCCGCCCTGCGGTTTGCCACCCCGTGGGTACGTCCCACGCCCCGGTGGAGTAGATTGGCGTTGGAACTCGGAAGACCTCGGTGAATGAAAGCAGCAGATAGCGATCGACTGAAGCTCGAGGAGTGATCTGGGTGCCTTGCGTATAAATAGTTGCTTTCCACTACGACTTTGCTCCTTCTCTTGTACTGTTGTCGAGATGGGAGCAGGTTCTGAAGACCCAACCAGCCATTGCAGATCGTCGTCAGTGCTGTTATGATAATACTGAGAACGGTGTCTAATTCTCTAACCGGCCACATATTCTCTAATTCCGGACTTATGCTCAACCAGCGTACTGGCCTGGTATGAATGAGCCTCTTTCTGCGAGAGCTGTATTCGTGTTATACTGTCCGAGTCTTTTGTTCGGGAAGAAGCGCATAAAGGCGCGCAAATATGCATATTAAAAAACATAGTGGTGAGGAAGACAGTCATTGAGCTGGGTGAATATCTGTGAACAGTCATATAGCCAAGAGAGAATCACCGCAACAGAGAAGATAAGAGAGCCTACATGTACGCATTTGAACGAAACAGAGACGACATAGGAGAACGACTGTTTAGCCTATGACTTTCACATCCAAAGCAGGTCAACTCAGACTGCAACGACCGAATTTCTCTCACGATTCAGTAAAAAACAATCACTGCTGAAGAATTAACCCGAAGCACCAGAGGTGCAGGTCACACCCAGATTTGAAGGCGTGTGAGCGCACAGAACGGTTGCCTTTCCAGATGGAGCCTTGACCGTAAAATCACTGATACTAACGTCGCAAGTGCCCTTGGCGCCGCAATTCAAGTTCGCGACGACGGGATCATACTTGCTGCTCGTGGTTCCCGAGAACCCCTTCACGATGATATCCTGCAGCACGGCATTGCCCGGGTTACTTGTGCAGTACGAGGCGCTTTCACCATAGCAGCTCTGGATCTGGAAGGCGTAATCGCACCCTTGCACGGTGAAGTCGGAGAAAGTCACGTTCTTCACTGTTGACAAGCCATGGCCGTTCCCGCTAGGGTAGGTCTTGATACCGGCTGCCTTGGTAGAATCGATCATGGTGATGCCATGGGCATAGATATTCTGCACCGTATCGTCGCTGCCTTTGCCCAGTGAGCCGACGGAGATACCGTGCGATCCGGTGCAGGTGACATCCTCGACGGTCACGTAGTTGCAGCCCGGCTTAAAGGCCACACAGTCGTCGTCGTTGCTTACGTTGACGGAGGAGATGGTGACATACGTGCTGGCACCGATGTCGAAGCCGTCCGTATTTTTCGGGGGATTGGCGGACTTGGAGGTTGCGTCCATGCGGAGGTTCGTAAAAACAACGTTCTTCGCGTCCCCTTTGACCGAGTTAAATACGTTTGGCGGGTTCTTCTGGCGGAGGCCGGACACTTCGATGTTGCTACCGCCGGTGATGTAGAGCAGAGTTGGACGTTTATAGCTGCTGTCCGAGGCAAAAAGATCGTATCTATGCTGTCGATTAGCTCCTGCTTCAAAAGGATAGATGCCCCTTACGCATTCTGCCCATTGCCATCGATGACACCCGAGCCAGTCAAAGACCGGAGCTTCAAGCCGTTGATCTTATTGACATTGATCATAGCGGTCTTGCCACCCCAGTAGTCGGTCGAGCCACTAAACTTGAGCAAACCCTCAACCTGAATGTCACAGTTTGAACACCCAGCAAGATCCAGCACACTGTTCAAGTAGTAGGTTGACCCAGCGGGAAATACTATCGTGCCTCCCTTGCCGCACGAGGAAATGGCCTTGGTGATGGCCGGTACATCGTCGATGGACGAGCTTCCACCAGCGGTGGGAGTGCAGACGGCACGAGGCTGGATGACTGCATCAGGAGAGCGCTCAACCTGCGAGGGAGCAGCGCTGCATAGGCTCAAGAGAGAGAGAAGAGCGAGGTTGCGATACGTTGCCATGTTGTCCAATTACTTCTACAGTGAATGATATCCAAGATGGCGACGAGAGATCGCGGACATAGATATACTGCATTGGGCGCGGCGGATAAATTTATGACGCAGAGAAATTCCGAACTCAGGACTCAAAAGAATTCGTCGTTTAACTTTGATGATTGTACATTCAGGCAAATCATAATGGGAGCAACCCGCGTTTAGACTCCAGACATCTGGGGGAACGGGATATCTCTATTAATGCATACTCCGCGCCATTCGAGGAAAATCTAGGTCTTCATCTATGCTTTCCCCACTAGCGCACCCCAAGTGTGACAGACTAACTACATCTCACTACTATCCGTATTCCGTGCGTTTCATGGCCAGTATGTCCCCAGCCTGGATAGGGGGATTTTCAGCCCGATGGAAAAAACAGGGGGTTTGCGGGGAAAACCCGGCTAAATAAATCAATAAAAGCCAACTTGGCTTCCTTTGGCATCCTCACGATCCTGAAGAATTGGAGGTATGGTTGACTGGCTAATCGATTCATGGAAAAAAAAATGAAACAGCTTGGGTTCCGCCCACGGAGAAATTCGTCTCAAGGGGCGCGCCATGTAATTTCTCCAGGTCGAGCTTTGTACTAGACTACAGGATTTGATTTAATTAAAGACGGCCATCGCTCTTGAGATTTCCTGGAGTATCAACAATCATTTCTCAAGGATTCTCAGACTCCACACTCCGGAATGCATCTTCCCTCTCTCGTCCTCGGCCTTCTTGGCCTTGCCCTCACAAGCTCTGCAAGCCCCATCGAAGAACGGAGTGGCCGCACCAGCGCCCCATCCGGATGCCTCACTGTCGGCTCGTCGGGCAAGTACTCGACCATCGGCGCTGCGTTGAGCGCTCTCGGCTCGTCCAAGTCCGATGCCTGCATCTACATTGCTGCTGGCACGTACAAGGAGCAGATCACCATCAACTACCCGGGAAAGCTGACCATGTACGGCGAGACGACCGACACGAGTTCCTACAAAAACAACCGGGTCACTATCACCCATACCATCTCCTCTCCTCAGGCGGGAACGCTCGATAAGAGTGCCACGGTCAACGTCGTGTCGGCCGGGTTCAAGATGTACAACATCAACGTTGTCAACGGCTACGGCAAGGGCTCGCAGGCCGTAGCGTACGTGGCCTCCCAAGAACCATCTACCGAAGGTAACTGACAAGATATGATAGTCTCGTTGCCAATGCCGACAAACTTGGCTTCTACGGATGCGGTTTCATCGGCTACCAGGACACTCTCTACGCCAAAGCCGGTCATCAATATTACTCTAACTGCTACATCGAGGGTATGTATCTCCCCGGCATCCATGTCCATCCACATATGCTAATGTCCTCCAGGAGCCGTAGACTACATCTTCGGTGACGCTTCGGCCTGGTTCGGCGAATGCGACATCGTCTCCGTCGGCGCCGGCTACATCACCGCCATGTCGCGCACGACTTCCGACGAGACCACCTGGTACGCGTTCGACCACTGCAACGTCTATGGGAAATCCGGGCTCGATCTTGCCGGTCAAGTCTATCTCGGTCGTCCATGGCGTGTGCTTGCCCGTGTCATCTACCAGAATTCCGCATTGTCAAACATCATCAACGCCAAGGGCTGGACGACCATGGCGGCGGGTGCGACACCGCTCTACTATGAGTACAAAAACACGGGTGCTGGGTCAGATACCTCGAAGAGAGTGTATGAGTCTTCCATCTCTGCTGCTGTTAGCAAGGACACGGTCCTTGGCAGCGGCTGGAGCAGCTGGATTGATACCACGTATTAAGAAGTGGTTGAATGGTGGGAAGCTATAGTACATTGGTGTTGAGGAGATATTCAGGGTTCATTCTTTCCAAAGGCGGATGCGCCAATTTATTATTTGTTTCACTTAGCCCCATATTCTCTCATGATAGCCATCATACGCAAGTAGGACCGCTCCTTTGCTAAAGCATAGGCTGTCTTTCCGTTCTTGTCGGCCAGGTTCGGATTCGCACCTGCAGCCAGTAAAAGGCGTACAATTGGAACATTGTAACGTACGATCGCTCTGATAAGTGGCGAGTCTCCAGTCATTGAAACAGGGTCAACGTCTACCGCTTTTGTTGCCAAGAGGTCTTTGACGATCAAATCGTGCTGACCGGCTGCTGCCATCCAAAGAGGAGTCTCTCCTCTGGCGCTTCGTGTGTTTGGCGGCACCCCTTGACGAAGAAGGGACTGTACCAGCCGCCTGTTGCCATCACGGGCGCCAATATACAGCCGACAGATCGAGCGCAGTTCAGTTGTGATTGTGATTTCAAACCTCCTTTCCAAGAGTGACAGAATCATCAGATCCCCACTCGCCGCGATAGTGAGCAAAATTCTCTGGGTGAGACATGCGCGCACAGAGGCAAATCTTTCTCTGACCAATAATCTGAAGATGCTGTACCGATAAGTGAGGTTCCGAGTGGCCGCCAGCAGCACCTCCTCGGTGATAGGGACTGTGTCTCCTTTCAGATCCAGAAGCGCTTCCATTACGTAGGTACCAGATGGCATGTCGCTGAACACTGCTGCCTTGCTCACTAATTCCGTAATCTCGAAATCACTCCTGCGGCTAAGTAGTAGCTGCATTATCCATGCACCATTCAACCCATTGCCGGCCGCGGCAACAAATGTCGCTTCTGTAATTACCTTATCATCTCCGATCATGCTCAGAAGCCGAGTGAAAAGCTCAATGAGCTCGGGTGTAGGCAGCTGGCTTTTTGTCGTGGCTACTACCACCGCCTCAGTGAGTCGTCGTGTACCAACGGTTCAACCGTGAAGCTGACTGGTGACCTTCGGTGGTTTTGCCAGAGTTAAGCCTAGCGAAGCGGTTGGACAACTGCAGCAAATAAGAATAAAGTGCGGTTGCTCTTTCCCAATCGTTCGCCATGGTCACTCAGTGCTGGTGTTGGACCAGGTTGAACCATGCATGCAACGTCATAAGGGGCGTGAAATAATAGAGGCAATTAGTGTACGATTTGTTATAATCTGGAGCACTGCTTCCACCTGGTATAAAGGCTGTACTCCTTTTTCAATACGTGCATGGCTTCGTGCTGGCTCAAATACGGAGTGATCTCTTATTGTTACCGTCCTTGAACCCAATACCTAACGCTTCGACGTCTCCGCGTTCAGTTACGTTGCCGTGGAGAATCCACATCCAGGTGCCGGAATGTTAACCGGCTTCCCTTTCGGCACACGGCGCACGAGGGCGCCTTTCAAACGGAACTTCCCTATGCCTTAGGATCGACTAACCCATGTCCATTCATCGATGTTGAACAATATGAATGTAAAGACATCAATTTTACCGGTTGACGTCTCTCGACCATCATCAAGGTCGAGTAGCAGTGTCGGTTACTAACTGATCCAAAGATAGTCTCTCTCTTCAGCTCTGGTTAGCATAGCATACGGATTCTACTATGCAGCACGAATGAGGCAGTTCAGAGACGAGCGTGATCCGAATCCTTGTCGCTTTCGGGACAATGGAAACAGCCACTTTACAAGATGAATCATCCAATCGGCAAACATACTTTTCACTTTAAAGAAGGAGTCGAGAATCCCGGTAAACACCGTACGAAGCTTCTGACCGGGCGTACACTGCCCATCGGGTTTCTGCCCGTTGTATCCCACGTAAATTCCTAGTTAGGTGGGCATATTATTGGGGTTGACCGAAATAGAGGCCGTTTGCATGTCGGGTTGTGGGGCCTCTTTTGCTCGAAACGGTAATTTAAAGAAAACCCTGGTACTCCTCCCACCACCAAACACTAAAGCACCGTGTGCCGAAGACATGAAGGACCGCCCAAACAGATCGCCGGAGGGCTGACGTGTCTGGATCACCTGGAGGAAGGGAGGGTCGTTCCAACAGCAGGAATGGTTGCCCTCATGTTCACATTGTTCGAATGGATTTCCAGTCAAGAGCAAGCAGTGTTTGGTTGTCAATATGTGCGCCTCACCTTCCATGCTGCCTCCGTGTTTCATAGATAACCTCTTAATGCTATGCACGGTTGCCGCCATCAAATTGGATCCCTTAAGTAGGCGGTTACAAGGAGACATCAGCGAAAGAGAGCGCTTTCCAACAATTGCATCGCCAAGGCCAGAACAGAGCAAGCAGTTAACCTCGTTAAGTATTGACATCCAAGCTGTGCTGTATCCGTCGATTCGTCTCTTTTTGAGTTCACTTTGGGGGGAGTCCATAACAATGTCCATGAATTCATAGCCGTATATAACCGAGCGTCCAGGGGGCCGCGGTGACACTCTAGACAAATTAACGGAGAACCCCATGACAAGCTCTCGAATTGTTAATGTATCGCCCCCTGATGCCTCGACCACGACTGACCCCTTATCTTTCAGAACTTCCAACGAAGACGATGCTCCATCCGAAGTAGGATTGACCGTAGGTACCGAATCCACTCGCGAACTCTCTTGAATGGTGTCAGCGTAAACCAAGAGCATATGATGGAGTACCGAAAGCAACGGAACCAGCCAGGCTCTTCCATCACTAACGTCGTAGAGAACTATCTGCTCAAGTGTGCTGTTCTTAAGACACTTAAGATAGTTTTGGGAGGGATCGAAGCGCAGAGTATTTACTGCTCGCTCAAACGACATCCCTAATTGGCCGCCTATCTGAATAGGGGCAGCGGACTGCGCAAGGACTTGAAGGTTGACCCCTTTCCAACGCCATGTCGTATGCTGTACTTTCGCGTTTGACCACGCTACTTTGGGTGTTAACTGGTTTGTGCCCAAGAGAACGTCTGCCTCAGAGCACCATCCAAGTAAGGCTCTCTTAGACGACAAGAGGTCAAGCTTTTCAACCCGCAACCATGATTGACGTGTTGCACGCAAGTCGGAGGTCTTGAGTTGCAGATCATTACTTGCGATCTCCAGGTGCCATAGAACTTTGTCATCTTCAGTCAATTGAATGGGAATCAGAGCGGTTGAAAACCCCATTAGGACAAGGCCAGAATCGACTGAAACAGGATATTCTACTGCCGCAAGTTGGAGCATAACATAGAAGTCCAATTCCAATCCTCGGGAGTGTCGGAGATACTCAAGTGATGGATCCGATACCACCACAGCTGAATCGAAAAGGCTTGTCCAGCATTCGTTGTCCCCAGTGGACGTCGGCATTGGGCGTAGATCGCCCAGGCTGAACCGACTTCCATCGTTTATTACGGCTGAATAACACACGCAATTCGGGAGCGGCTTCCGGAAGGTAAGACAAATCCATTGCACTATACGTCTTACATTATCAACCGATTCGGAAACGTCCACGGTAATAGCACTAAAAGTGGTTTTAATGATCATATTACCGTCAACTAGAGAGATATGTAAGCGCCGGCTTATAGGATTGCTGGTTGTCACACTGACCGTAGAGGCTTTGGGGACTTTTGAGAGCCCTAGCGATGCCATGTAACAAAGACGTTCCAAGAATTCCATACGTTCGCCGGAGGAAGTCGCTACTTGTAGCTAGTTCAACAGTGTCCCTCTGTCTGGTTAACGTACCAGTATTGGATAGGAAAGTTTCCACTTCCCGTAGATCCTTGATAATCGAAGGGAGCTGCCAGGAGAAATTTATTGTTTGCGGTTCGAGTGATCCCGTCTTGGGGTCATGACCAAGCGTTGACAGAGAACCAGCATTTGCGCCTGCATTCTGGAGAAGCGTGATTACCTCTTTGCGTTTATTATAGGCTGCCGCCGCAAGAGCATTTCCGTAGTCTCCGCATGTAAGCTGCTGATTGGCATTCGCTCCAGCCTCCAAAAGCAGCTTTACAATCTCTATATTCCCCTTGACGGTGGCGGCAGCAGCAAGGGCACTTCCATG